AAGAACGTACATGTGCAGATAACATGACTAACTTTAGACTGCAAACAATTACACACGCAGTTATCAAACTCACGTCACAGAGAACATGTGCTGACAGCTTTCAAAAGTTGGTTCAAAATTTTAATAATAGAACTCGTTAATTCATCCCTCCTTTGTACAAATATTTTGTCGGCCATTTTGTTTGCGTGACGGCGCGCGTTGTTTACATGAATCGTATCACCACCCGGGTGATTATTGAAATCATCCGCCAGATCAAATACGATGACGTAAGGCGTGATTCAATGATAAATTTGATGCCCTCGTCGCACTAATTAGCATTTTGATTGGACACTTTAAATTTCAGGTATAATATTGTTTGAAACCGTCTGGAATTCAGTCAAAATTATGATCTTTGTGACCACACGGTAACATAATTATAACGCATTCAGAACGTGTACTCGAGCTGGAAAAAGAAAATTTTTCTTCCAAAACAACAAAATAGCAAAAGGAAGATTTAGAGAATCACATCCTCTAAAATGTGAGCCATATATGACATCTCCTTTTTTCTACTCACGATGTATTGTTTATTTTCACAAATATCTTTCCATTACTGCTGTATTAAAAGCAGCAATTGAAAACATACTTTTGCCCGCATGGCATGCAGACCCTAACCCTGTCCATGCTAAATGTTCTATTTCGTAGGACATTGCTGGTTTTTAGTTGGCTGTGGATGAAGATGTGATATTAATTCTATTTTGTTTCCAGAACTTTAACCCAAACCGCTTACAGATCTTACGGTGGTCACCCATATTCTTACAGTGATCCGTCTGGTAAATTACATTTCACTCCAGTTCAACAAACTCCTGATGGAATGGTAGGTCGGCTTACAAGTTTACACTAATTGTACTTAATGACAGTGTAACGTCGTGCTTTTACAAGACTTTTACTATATAAAGACATATCTAGCAGTAAAGTCGGTCTAACTGCATACATGTACACATTCCAAATGATGTCGGCCTAATCCCGAGACAGCCTTTTATGCATAATTACATATTCTATGATGCTAATTGTCCTGTAAAATACAAATACCGACACAGGCAACAGATCAGGTTGCGAAGAGCACGATGTACAACCACCTTAATTAAAAATATATTAAGCCGAACTTCGGCGTTTCGAGTCTTCGAGAAAAGCCATTCGTTGGGAAGTTATAGCAGCCGCCACTTCCAACTTCTTGTACTAATTTCCCGACAAAGCGCAGTCGCTCGAAACGTCGAATATAATAATATATTTTCAAGGTTGTTTATCTCCCTGTCTGTATCGTCACTTTAATTTATTGAGATTTTAAATTATGGGACTGAATTAGTAAACGTGCATGCATCCATTTCTGTCGATATGCAACCTACAGTTAAAACCGTTTATAAATGATGTACTGATAAAGTTTTAAAACACTTCGACATGTCGAAAGAAGGCCCTTAATTGCACCCCCAACAACATCCCGCAGTATAAATAATTACCATATTCTCAAAATATTTATTTATATTCCCCAGGGTGGCTTGGTTTGGTCTCCTTACGCGACAGAATACGCAATGGAAGATTTTTATCGAAATGTAAGTATTTCGTTCGTGTTACAGTCATGGCAATGGAAATGTTCCAAAAATATTCTACTAATTCATTTCCTCCCACGAACCAATTCATTTGATATTTTCTGCAACTTCATGTATTTGATCACTTCTGGTCATTCCTGCCGTTTTATGATTGGTCAATTGCACCAAAACCAAAGGTGATTCGGGTGGAAGTTATGACATTTTCAAACAACTCAGCAATTGAATTGGTTCGTGTGAGCAAATGCATAGTAGAATATTTTAGAAACACTTCCGTTGCCACGACTGCGAGCCCTGGTCTACGACTGTAAGCCCTAAACAAGCTAGAAAACATTCCTGTGTAAAATATCCGGATGGTTCTTCGAATATTTCCCCCGTTTGCCCACTCTCAGAAACATCGTTATTAAAAAATGCTGCCTGAAATGTTACCTAAGAAATTTAAAAACATGTTAACTGATTTTCTACGTCTGACTTTCTCTGCGGCAACAAAGTTTCCTTGTTAACCTCCCTAAGAAAAACATAATTTATGTTGAGATGTTTCATTATAACTTCTCTCCAAATAATTTATTTCCTGATAGTATAATTTTTGTCCAAGCCTTTATACTGTTCATGAAGAGGCCATTAAGGTTTAAATTTTGGTTGCAGACCAAAGTATAACCGACAATAAAATTATAGTATTCTAGTTATCGTTGATTAGTCATCTATATATTATATATTTCTGTAGGTTGAAATGCCGGGTACATTGGATTCCAAAAATTCCAGTTTCTTGTCAAAAATGCCAGAAACTCCTCTTGGTACAATGCCTGAGAGCACTGGCGTACCACGTGATGCTGTGATTGACATGCCCGACGCTGGGGAACGTGGGACTACGACGGGAGAGTCCTCGGAGCCACTAGTGCGCGCGATTAAAGACGAGCTATTTCGGTTGGCATCGGGACGCACTCCCGTAAAACACATGTGAGTGCATAAGCAAAACTTAGAGAATTTTCCATCATTGAAGAATATCAATTGACTGTACATCTGAAGTGTCTTCTTGGACCATCGAAATATATTTAATTTTGTGAATGCATGATGCATCTCGCAGTGAAATACGTCGCAACACTTCGGTCGCAACGTCTTTGTTTAACAAAACCGTGATGTATTCTCAACGTGGGGAGTGGAAAAATGGCATACTCTTTGCCCACCTTTTTATGTCGTACTATTTTGCTAACGAAACTGATGTACTTACTGGATTTTGTATGCGTGGACGGTTTGGCATATTTTAACTCGTTTTGCATTGGCGTTAATTAGTCAAATCAATATGAGACAAGATTGACGGAGATGTAATAAAGGAGAGTCTGTGCCTGGAGTGCTAACTTTTAAGATTTTCTTTCCTGACTGAAGTAGCATAGCCAAAACAGGACAGGACAGGACACAATGTGTAATCCAATGTTCAGAAAATGACATTTCGAAAGGTTGTCTTTTGTTTGGAGTAATGATATTTCAACAGTGTAAAGTAATTAAGACTTGGTGGTATATGAACAGCATCCTAGCTATAATCAAGCTATCTTTACGTGGTCATTTTGGTCAGATACTCATAGTGCGTGAAGACAGAAAATTGTGTCCCGGTTTTGGGTATACTATCTTTCAGTCAATTCTGGTCGAAATATGAAAAAAAAACGCTGAGACGTAACTAAGATTAAGGTATTGATCTTACAATAATTATCACTTATTTACTGAGACCGAGGGAAACAGTGTGTTTTGTGGACCCTCGACCGTCGATGTTTCCCGAGGCTAAGCCGAGGGAAACATCGACGGTCGAGGGTCCACAAAACACACTGCTTTCCCAAGGTCTCAGTGAATAAGTGTTTTATTATATATCAATAGTCAAAGAAACAACAAATTAAAGAACAAATGAACGTAAATACATGAAATATTTTATTGTTAAAACGTTATATTAAACACTAGCTACACTGCAGTTACTTAAAGCGAAACTTGTCAACAAGTTGTGAGTGACAAGCTTGTAGCAACTTGATAAAATAACAGCATTTTACAACTTGTTGACAAGCTTGCTACAAGCCTGTTGCGAACACATCTTGTTGACAAGTTGTGAGATTTTTACGTCTGTACTATACAGACGTAAAAACGCACAAGTTGTAACAAGTCTGCAAACAAGTTGTTACACGTCTGTTCACAAGCTGTCAACAAGTTGTCTTCGCACTGCTTGTTCCCAGTTTGTTGTAACAAGTTTGAAACAAGCTGTTCACAACCTGTAACAAGCTTGATGACATTATCAGCCTTGTTACAAGATTGTGCTAACAAGTTTGTTACAGCCATGATATAACAAGGATGTTACAAGGTTGTCAACACAAGGTTGTAGCAATCTTGTTATATCAAGCATGTCACAGACTTGTCAGAACAACCTAGCAACAAGTCTGATAATTTCGACAAGTTTGTTACAAGTTGTCAACAAGTTGTTCCAAACCTGTTGACAACTTGTGACAAGCAGTGCGAATACATCTTGTTGACGGCTTGTGAACAGACTTGTAACAAACTTGTGCGTTTTTTACGTGTGTAGGCATGTCCAAAGGTCGCATCTTCACGTGATGGCGCACGTGATTTTTTTGTTATTCGTCGGTTGATAACGTATTATCTCCCTCTCGCGCTGTTGCGAGGGAGACAGCCTAATTTCGTCACTCTCACGTGATATGCTCTCAACCAATAAAACACTAGAAAAATGCAACTTTGACTATTGATATATAATAATAATAATCTTTGTTGACAGGAAAACTGTCTCACCATTGTCATTTCCAGAAACTGGTCCTGTAGACAGTTAGATTATATACATAAAATTAATTGAACACAGTGTTGTAGTTTTAACCGAAGTTACCTGTGTAGTTAGGTACGTGTAGTTAATATGACAGAGTAGATGGTATTTATTTGGAGAGAAACGTTAGCACAAATAATATTGAAAATTATGTGCGAATTTATACAAACTTGAATGTGTACAAATTGGTTGTCAAATATATTTAAAGTAGAGCACGCCCTATTTATTATCTTAAAAATAGACGTAATATATGATGATATGAACAGAGACTGTAATGTACAAAATTATATAAATCGAAAAGATTATGTATATATAAATAATATAAACTTTAAAAGACTTTGTTGAAAGTTGTATTTAGTGTTGAGGTTGCAAAGAAAATTAAAAAATGTTTATCATGTCGTAGTTTATTACAAAATATAGATAACTAAATAAATTTTGAAAATTCAATAATTCAATCTTTCATGAGAAAAGACAAAGGAAATCACTACCGTGTCGGTGGTTTTATATGTGATAAAAATCATGTTCATTTACATGAACTTTAGCCTTGATTTTTTCGGCCTAGACAACGTTTATTTTTAAATAAATTACTTCGCCAATGAACTAATTAGACGGGTCTTTTGCCCGACGTCAGAATGCGGGTGGACTGGATGTTGGGATGTGCCAGTTCGTGACACGATACATTTGACAAAATCTAAGATTTTTACATTTGTTTGCTCCCTCCTTCATCTTGTTAGTTAAACAGCCGTCCTATTGTCCGGCGAATTTCTTTTTACTCTATTTCGTAAATTTCTCCAAAATTTTAGCTATATCATTATTAATTTTTAATCATATTACTCAAATATTTTTATTTTTTCTTCCTACCGAAATCCATTTTTTCCGACTACGAAATCAATTTGCGACTGGGAATCGATATTTTCCCCACCATCTGATCACTGCTGGGGTTTTCCAACCGCCTCACCCCTCTTTACCACCGCCCCTGCACTTGCTTAAGCTCCCAAAGAAAACGAAACACAACCGCAGCGTCGAATTGCCTGAACTAATTTATTCCTTATCAAAGTTTTAACTACAAAAATACACGTTATTTAATCATCGTTCACGTGCTCTCTATGTTCATGGACAAGCCATCCAGTTGACACCAATTCGATAAGTGATAGATGTATCCCATGGCTTGAATCTAATGTTGAATCCGGTTCTGGTTACAGATTCCACAGTAGCATGAACACGAACATTGTGATCTTTGTGAGTGTCAACCAGAGTTAAGCCAATCACTACTTTTGGTATATCCTTAAATGCGGGGACAAAACGGACATTTACAATTTGGCCCCTTCCAAAACATATTTTTGCAGCAGTTGTACAATATTTTGATTGAACATATCCACTTTTGCCTAAACAGAAATGAAAAAAAAAATGTAAATAAGTTTCACTGCAGTTGTCAGTGTTAAAAGTGCTTAACTTTCTTTCATTGGGGCTCCCTTAAGATTTAAGCAAGACTGAAATAGTCTATGAAAATGTATCAAATTTGTACTAATTTAATAAGATTAGTGGATTTATTCTACAATTAAAACACCGCTGCTGTTTCAATTTATTTCTGTTCGATTTTTAAGGCCACACCAATAATCTGATATTTTGACTTTAATAAGTCCATCTTGTTTTAATATGATGGAACCTAGACCCTATAAATTTTTAAATTTCTGATATTTCATGCCTCGAGACCTCTTTGGTGACACCCCCCCCTCCTTGGTAAAATTTTAGGACCACACCACTGGGTATATTTATTAAGTAGAATTATGATTGCTTGCTCGTGTACATAGCGAGTCTATAATATAAACTGCATCAAAGTAAAATTAGTTTAGTTCATATAATTTTCTGGATAGAAATTTGTAAGAAGGAAGTTAAAAAAGGTTATATAGTGGTAATTGTATTGGTGAATTCCCTCAATGCATGTAAGGGAAGATTTTGTTTGAATTGACTTGTAAACTATTAAGATATGAAAAAGATATGAAAAATACAAGATACTATTAAGATATGAAAAATACAAGAAAAGGAGAATTTTTTATTCTTCCTTTTGGACACCATCACCTGACGAAACAAACTACAGTATGCTTGTGATGTTACTCTGAGTGTATATCCACACCGGGCAAGCTTGAAAAATATGCCTGACCACGGTGGGAATCGAACCTACGACCTTTGGAATGCTAGCCCAATGCTCTGCCAACTGAGCTACGTGGTCTGGTCGGTTCGAGTATGTGATATTTCGGAACAGAATCTAGTTCCTTCGATATCTAGGCCCGGTGTGGATATACACTCAGAGTAACATCACAAGCATCTTATTCACCTGAGTACATTGCACCAACACAGAAAATAAAATTACAGTATATTCAAACAATGGGCCTGGAGTGATTTCGTTAGCGCTGATAATGATCACAATTTCCTTAAGGGACAGAACGATTTCGAAAATATTAGTCATGCATCTTATGACTTATAGCTTACATGTATCGCCACAGAGATTGCTTGGGAGGAAGATTCGTTTTTCTTCATCTTCATCGCTGCTTGTTAAATCGACTGTTTCAAAACGGTTCATACTTGCATCCTATAAAAAAATTCAAGAAATATAAATAAATATACCGCCCAGCATGTTAGTGTTTACGCAAGACTTAAGTTTTTACGTGTATTGTAGTTGCGCGCGTTTGAGGCTCTTGGAATCCGGTGTCAAGCGAAATTCCTAACCTCTGCAAATAAACTTGATTTCCTGATGGCTTATTTGCCGATTCAAAAACTTCAATCAGTGACAAAATACGCGGACTGACTGGTTAAATTGAGATTGTAACATAATCCCCCTCCCACCCGCTTAATGTGGTTAAACTATAAGATTCACAAGACACACGAAGCAATCTTGTCTTGTATTCCGTTCACATGCTGTAAATCTCCCATCACACACAGCAACATTGAAATTGCGTTTTACATGTTATTTTCGCAATTGTGCACCCCATCTAAGCGCCCCATGCTTTCAATATCGTTGATTGTAGCTACCACAATTTTTCATTATTTTATAATTCATGCATTAATACCAAATAAACATGTTTTCAACAAACACTGTTAGGCAACATGTAAAAGTTTAAAATTCAAAACAATCCATATATAAGTGATAATTATTATAGCCCTTTGAAATGTAAAAAAGCACCAAAACGTGGTTATATATAATATATAGTCAACCAAAATCAGGGTTGTTTGCTTTCTCAGTAAAGAAAGGCCAAATGTTATATGGTTGGATATTCATAACTGCAGTGACATCTACCATTTCAAATTATCAGTTTGAAAATATTTTTCAGATGAGCGAAAAATAAAATGATCAGTATTTGCTAGATCATACCTCAGCAGTTCTTTTAAATTCAACATCTTGCTGCAGCACCGCTGCAAACGCCTAAATTGGAAAGATAAAAATTGATGAAAATGAAAGCACATCACAGAACAATCGCTTTCTCTATCTTTCTCTAATGTACATTTTGTTTCAGAAAGAAAAAGATAGTTATACGCTTTTTTAGATGATTAGTTATAGCTAACCTGGCTAACCCAAACGTCTAAATTATATATAGGAACTAATTTACTAACCAATGAGAACATTGCGGACAAACAAACCAACAGCAGCTTCATCGCTATATGAAAGTTGAAAGGTTGATATATAGGCAGTTGTTCGTGAAATTTTCAGTCTCAAAATTAGGACAAGTACGCAGTCTAACCAAAAAACAGAATCTGATTGAATGTACTTCAACACCCTCTCTTTTATAGTATTCTATTCACATGTTTATAATTGGTACTATTGTGAGAACATCTTATAATCAATTAAAAATGCCACTCGTGCATTCTATAGGGCGGATATAACTAGTAATATCGTGAGAGCATGCATGACGGCCAAAATTACATATGCAGGATTGCTACAGGGGATCTTAATTAACGAGTCACAGAGACGGGAAGTTAAGCCTGGTTCACAAAAACCTGCAGTATGTCGGCGAGCTATTGTCGTTACCACTTCAACCTGATGATTCACAAAAAAATGTAGGCATCAACAGCTGTAAATAATGAAAGCGCAGGCATACCGCAGGCATATGTGAATCAGGCTTCAGTTTTGGACAGTTTGAAATAACGGCATAAAACAAAATGTTAATACGTTAAGTTAAGGCCAAGTACTGACCAAGTTAATTGTGCGAATTTTTTCTGTAAGATGTTTGAAATTACATCATAGAAAGTAATATGAAATCACCAAAGACAAGGTTTGTTTAGAATGAAAAAAAAATAAAAATCCCACTCTTTTACAGTATTTTATAGCACGGACATAACTAGCAATCTTGCGAGAGCACCTTCAAATGACTGCCAAAATTACATATGCAGGATTGCTAGAGGGGGGATCTTAACAAGCCACAGAGAGGGGATGACAGATTTGTTCGGTTTGGAATAACAATAAAAACCGCACGAACTGTATGTGAATAGGTTAGAGCCAAGGGTACACTATAACCAAGTTAATTCTGCAAGTTTTTTTGCGATATTTTCTAAATTACATCATAGAAAGAAATCTGAAATCACCATGGAAGGGAATGTTCTTCTAGTTTAGAATGGGAAAAATAAAAAGCCACCTATGCATTTTAGCACAGATATAAGTCAATAGCAATATCGTGAGAGTCTCTTCATATCTTCATATGACTATCTTCATATGAGCGAAATTACATATGCGGGATTACTGAAGAGGATCCTCACAAGGCACAGAGAGAAGTCAGCTTTGTTCAGTTTTTGAAATACAATTTGTACTGTACCGAAACATTGTGTAATTAGCTAGGTTAAGGCCAAGGTACAGTACTAACGAAGTTAATTCCGCGAGTTTCTTTGTGGGATTTTCGTATTTACATCATAGAACGGGATCTGAAATCACCATGGACAGGAGACGTTTTTCTAGTTTGGAATGGTAATAAAACAAAAACGTCCAATGCACCATATCATTTTAGCATGTATAACATAAGAATACTATTGTGAGAACCTCTTCTTATGACTTCCAAATTTACATATACAAGATCAAAGGGGATCTAAACCAGTCACAGAGAGGAAGTCAGTTTTGTTCAGTTTAATTGGAAATAGAATTTGCACTGTACAACATGTAATTAGGTTAAGGCCAAAGGTACTAACCAATTTAATACTGCGAGTTTTTTTGAGATTTTCCAAATTACATCACGGAAAGGGATCTGAATTCAGCAGATGCAGGGTACGTTTCTTCTAATGCGAAATAAAATAAAAATCCCACTCATGCATTTTAGCACGGATATAAATAGCAATATCGTGAGAGCATCTTCAAATGACGTCTGCCAAAATTACGTATGCAGGGTTGCTAGAGGGGATCTTAATTTAACAAGCCAGTCAGTTTTGTTCAATTTGGAACAACAATAAAAACTGCACAAACAATTTGTAATGAAGTACACGAACCAAGTTAATTTCGCAAGTTTCTTTGTGATATTTTCGAAATTACAACGTAGAAAGGGATCTGAAATAAGCAAAGGCAGGGGCCCCAGGTCATGTTTCTCCTAGTTTAGAATGGAAATAAAACAAGAATCGCACTCATGCTTTTAGCACGGATATATCTAGTACTATTGTGTGAGTCTCTTCATATATGACTTCCGAAATCCCATAAGAAGGATTACTAAAGGATCTTAACAAGCCAAAGAGGTAGAAGTCAGCTTTGTTCAATTTCACAATTTAGAATAACGATTTAAACTGTTCAAACAACATGATTAATAAGTTCTTTGTATGTTTGCATGGTGATAAAATATAATAGGTTTTGTTTGTGGAAACACCACGTAAATTTATTACTGCAAAGCTTTCGATCCGTAAGCTATATTATTAGCACATATTATTAGCACTGATGAAGATCCGGGCTTACGGATCGAAAGCTTTGCAGTAACATGATTAATATTTAATTAGGTTTCAGGCCAAGGGTACTAACCAAGTTAATTGTCGGAGTTTCTTTGTTAGACATACAGTACTATAGAATGATTAATGACGTTATTATATTTAACAGTTGTTGTAGTTTTATTTATTTTAATTTGGCCCCTTTCCGATAAAATAACACTTTCAAATTGGAAAGCAGTCCGGTTTAAAGCTTGCAACGTCTGATCCAGTAACTGCATGTGTTTAAATGTACAGTACTCAAGTCTCAAGGTTGTTATGCTATCTTCTTATGTTATTACAGAAAAAAATTACTGACTTCTAAGCGTAGCATAGCTTCTAATTATGTAAGAGTATACTTAGCTTTACTATAAAGCTTTTGGGGAATCTCTTTGTGTGATATTTCATACTTGTCAGACTCTCTTGCTAGGAGACGAGAACATTCGAATTTTGTGTCTTGCACCTGATACGCTCTCGTCCAATGAGATGCAAGAAAACATGAACTTTCACACTTGGTAAAAATAATTAACACTTATTGTCCGGGACCGAGAAAAAACAGTATGTTTTGTGGCACCAGATCTCTTCCCAAAATTGAGGCTATGTCTTCATTGTCAAACTTTCCAAAATTAAGACACTTAATTACACAAAATCCCAAGCATTTTGTAAGATTTTTAGGTAAAGTTACGGAGGCTAAACGCTGGACGCGAGATCAGGGTTACTGTAGATTAGGGATAGATTATGGTCACATTAGTGATTAGGTTAGAGTTAGGGGTTAGAGTCGTGGTTAAAGTTGACCAAGATTTAGTTGGCGTCTTCACTCGATTGACTAATATAGTTGAAGGTTCTTGTAGGCTATAATTGAGAATTATCGTAATACATTTATTAGACCTAACACGTATAGCCAGGAACAGCTGCGAAAAATGCAATAAAAAGTCCCTGGCAGGAATTAAACCTATATCTAATAAATGTATATAAATTTCGACTCGATAATTTCAATCCACCAGATCCTTCAACTATTTTTCAATCGAGTGAGATGCCAACAAAATCTTGATATTTATACCCATAATCTAACATGGCAGTATACCTAAATAGTTATATTTTTCAAAGCTGTTCCTCCTCCAAACACAGAATCATTCTACTGAATCCGTCTATTTGGTTAGATCTATTAAATGTAAATTAAATTCCACTCGATAAATTCCATCTACAAGACCCTTCAAGTTGAGGCATGCACTGTCTTAGTTTTAGTAGCGTTTTTTGACAATTAAGACCATTATTTATGAATGCCTTAATTTTGACAGTAGATCACTCTGTTCGTATAGACACTTGACTGCCATTACTCGACTGTCACAAAGCATACTGTGTCCAGAAAGTCCGTTTAGATTGGTGGACAGAATTTGCAGAATCAGATAGACATGGATTAAATTGAAAATCCGCAGCGGAAATCCCCACCAGTTTTGTTGTAAATTTAAGTTTTTTTGAGGGGAAGGCAGATTTGTTCAGTTTGGAATAACAATAAAACCGCATGAACAGTATGTAAATAGGTTAGGGCCAAGGGTACTATAACCAAGTTAATTCTGCGAGTTTTATTGCGAGATTTTCTAAATTACATCATATAGAAAAGGATCTGAGATTACCATGAAAGAGTATATTTCTTCTAGTTTCGAATGGGAAGAATAAAAATCCCACTCATGCATTTTAGCACGGATATAACTAGCAATATTGTGAGAGTCTCTTCATTTGACTTCCGAAATTACATATGCAGGATTACTGAAGAGGATCCTAACAAGCCATAGAGAGAAGTCAGTTTTGTTCAGTTTGGAACTACAATTTGAATTGTACCGTAACAATATGTAACTGTGCTTAAAAGCCAAGGTTCTAACCAAGTTAATTCCGCGAGTTTTTTTGTGATATTTTCGTATTTACATCATAGAAAGGGAACTGAAATCACCATCGACAGGAGTCGTTTTTCTAGTTTGGGATGGTAATAAAACAAAAAAGTCCCATGCAGCAATTCATTTTAGCATGTATATCATATAAGTATAATATTGTGAAAACATCATTCTTCTTATGACTTCCAAAATTACATATATACAAGATCAAAGGGGATCTAAACCAGTCACAGAGAGGAAGTTAGTTTTGTTCAATCTGGAAATAGAATTTGCAATGAACAAACAATAACTAATTAGGTTAAAGCCAAGGGTACTAACCAATTTAATTCTGCGAGTTTTTTTGTGAGATTTTCGATATTACATCATGGAAAGGGATCTGAATTCAACAGATGCAGGGTACGTTTCTTCTAATGTGAAATAAAATAAAATTCCCACTCATGCATTTTAGCACGGATATAAATAGCAATATCGTGAGAGCATCTTCAAATGACTGCCAAAACTACATATGCATGCACGATTGCTAGAGGGGATCTTAACAAGCCAGTCAATTATGTTCAGTTTGGAATAACAATAAAAACTGCACAAACAAGTTGTAATGAAGTTATATACGAACCAATTTAATTTTGCAAGTTTCTTTGTGATATTTTCGAAATTACAACGTAGAAAGGGATCTGAAATAAGCAAAGGCAGGGGCGCCCCAGCTCATGTTTCTCCTAGTTTAGAATGGAAATAAAACAGGAATCGCACTCATGCTTTTAGTACGGGTATATCTAGTACTATTGTGTGAGTCTCCTTATATATATGACTTCCGAAATTTCACATGCATGCGGATTACTAAAGGATCTTGACAAGCCAAAGAGGTAGAAGTCGGGCTTGGTTCAATTTCACAATTTGGAATAACAATTTAAATTGTTCAAACAATATTAATATTTAATTAGGTTTAAGGCCAAGGGCATATACTAACCAAGTTAACTGTCGGAGTCTCTTTGTTAGACATACAGTACTATACAATGATTAATGACGTTATTAGGCTATATTTAACAGCTGTTGTAGTTTTATGTATTTTAATTTGACCCCTTTCCGATAAAATAACACTGTCAAATTGGAAAACAGTCCGATTTAAAGCTTGCAACGTCTGATCCAGTATATGTGTTTAAAGTTACAATACTCAAGTCTCAAGGCTTGCAATAGATTTAGCGAAGTGGGAACACAGCATTTTTGGTTTACAAGAACTATTAATTTGACTTACTAAATCTGACTCGTCAGTCGTCAATACATATCGGTACATATATAGATCTGTGGACGGAAGTGTGCGATGCATTCCCATCATGCGCCATTATTTTTTTTCTATCCTCATTTGACAGACTGGGCACGAGTCAGTTACTAAATCACTTGTTCGTTTCTTGTAGTCATGAAATTAAATACTTTAATATTAGATTTTATATGTGAGACGGTTTCAAATTCATCATTCATCAACAATCCGTACATATTAGGCATTTCTGGTAGAGCATAATTAACTAGAATATTACCATAATTAGATAAATCATTTTTATAAATAGTGACGAAGAAAGTTACCCATATTATAACTAGAACCTGAAATTAGAACATTTGTATAATCAAATCTTCCGAATCCTAAATATTTTTACTTATAGAATTTTGACAACCATGATTGCTGAAATTTTTCTTACCTTGGTTCTTGTCTATTTCGTTCATTATTTCATCGCTACCTATATGATGAGAAGAAACATGCCACCTGGTCCATTTCCCTATCCTTTCCTTTCCTTGGCAACTTACCTCACCTATTCTGTGATCCGTTTGATCCATTTTACAAACTAGCTGATATATACGGAGATATATTCTCACTAACCTTTCCAAGTGGGGACAAAACTGTTGTTTTAAATTGTGCTTCGCTTGTAAGAGAAGCTAGGCTTGGGAAGCTAGAAAATGTTTCAGGAAAAGCACCTGGCTGCATATATCTTTGGCATGAAATATTTGGAAAAGATTTAATAACAACAGATTATTCACCTGAATTGCGATTTCGTAGACGAGTATTTAAATCAGCAATCCATGTTTTTGGTGCTGGTATTGAGCAAGTATCAGAACGTGCTGGACATTCAGTTAATATTGCGATTAAAGAAATTGATAGTCATGAAGGGAAGCCATTCTCGCCAAGGGGAATTTTAGAGTCCTCGATACTTGTGCAACTATGGGAATGGCTGACGTCAAAGAAACTTCAATTGAATGATTCAGTTATCAAAAGTCCGTCGGTATTTGACGAAATTGTTGGTAAACAAGCCTTGCTTTGTACTGTGTCCCAAAGTGTTTCCATTTTTGAAGTATTTACCAACTCAAACCAACCGTGATATAAAGCGGGCGAAACACATTAGAAACACGGTATTTCCAAAAGAATACCATGCCCAGAAAGAGGCGTATAGCCCAGGTGTTATCCGCAACCTAACCGATAGCTTCATCAGTTGCTACGAAAAAGAAATTACTAAAGAAGCTAATCAAGACATTGGATCGATGGATGATACCGCTGGTTTAATGTGTGACGTAACCTTTGCAGGGTCCGACACAACTTCCTCGTCCCTTGCTTGGTTATTTCTTTACATGGTATCATATCCTGATATACAAGAAAAAGTTCACAAGGAACTAGATGTAGTAGTGGGAAGCGATCGCTTACCCAGTTGGAAAGACGTCCGGAACATGCCTTATCTTCAAGCTACTCTGTGGGAAGTCCAAAGGGTATCTGGTATGATGGTAGTCATCGGAACATCCGCGATCCGAGACATGACAATTGGAGGATACGACGTTCCAAAAGGAACCTTTGTTGCTGTCAATCTTGCCAAACTGCATCACGACGAACGAGAGTGGCCAGAGCCAGAAAAATTTAAACCTGAAAGGTTTCTTGATTCTGACGGACAGTTTGTTGGATGGAATAAACTTAATGGTTTTCTTCTGTTTTCTATTAGGCGAAGACAATGCGCCGGTCAGCCATTGGCGAAGATCATGCTGTTCACCTTTGCCTCAATATTATTGCATTATTACAAGATTGAGTTACCAGAAGGTGAGAAAATCCCATCTACAGAAGTATCCGAGGCTGCATTAATTAGGCGTCCAAAAGATTTTAAAATTGTCGCAAAGAAACGAAAAGATTAGATTCCTGTTAATTCTGGTTTTAATTTCTCTTCTTTAATAATATTTAAAGGAATATTTGTTGCTTTAAATTGTGTCATATTGCTTTGCAAGTACGAGAATGCAAAACACTTGGAGTTATAATCGATGACAAATTAATGTGGAAAGACCATATAAATGAAATCAATGCTAAAGTTTCGAAAGGTTTAGGAATAATGAGAAGGATCAAATCGCTTGTAACCCAATCTGTCTTGCAAACTATATACAACAGCTTAATACTCCCATATTTCGATTACTGTAGCATGGTATGGGATGGGATAATGCAGCTAACTATAACATACAGAAACTACAAAAAATGCAAAATAGAGCGGCTAGAATTTTAACAGGGAGCAGTTACGATGCTCCTTCAAAGGAGTTACTGCGCCAACTCAACTGGGAAACGTTGGAAGAGCGCAGACGTAACAAAAAAGCATTATTAATGTACAAGGTCAAAAATGGGATCGCATCTGATTCAATAGGAAATTTGTTTAATATTT